CATCTCTCTAGAGAGTACATCAGGTTGGCAAACAAGAGTTGCCTCAGAAGTAAATTGTTTACTATTGTCACCTCTTGCCTTCTCTTAGTTGCTCTCATTGTTATATGGGGTGCAGGTTGGGCTCCTTACTCAGCTCCAACATCTGCCCCGGTCTGATCTTTTCAATCTGCACAGAATTTGTTCTGCATGGGCACCTTAGGCCTTGCAGAAGTGCCTTCCTCTTGCAGGTCCTTGCCCTTGAAGGCTTATATTCTTCTACACTATTGGCCCCTCTCCCTTCTGCGCCAATGGAGGAGTTTTTGGCTGTGGGCTGTGTATCTTCTGCAGATTGTACTTGGAACTTGCTATCCAACTCCTCCTCAGCCTCCCTGCTGTTATGCAGCCTTTCCACTGCCTCCTGCAGCTCAGCCACCTGCCACAGGAGGTCCTCCACCTGGCACCCCTTTGGCAGGCAGGTCTGCTGCCTGTCACTGCCCCAGGGGAAAGGTCTCGGCACTTTCGGCAGGTGGAATTCTGCACTGCAGCCTCTCCCTTTGGCAGGTCTGTCTGGGTAGAGGCACTGGCCACTGCTGGAGCAGATGGTGCAGATCCACTGTTGGAGCTGCAGCCTTTGCTCTCAGATGAGTGCTCACCGTTCTGCCTTGGGGGTCGAGTAGGATGAGTGCCCTTGACCTGTGCAGATGGCCACAAAATAGTGCCTAGTTGCTGGTTTATGCAGACTTCAAGGCCAGTGGAATGTCCCTCCTTTGAGAAGGTGTCCTCCCTGCACAGCCTCCTGAGCAAACTACCATACTTCAACCTGTCTGCCTGTCCTGGTTGTGCAGGTCACAAGGCTCCTGTCACAGGGCTCACTAAGGCTGCCTTTGGTGGGAGGCAAGGGTGGCCACCATAACTCCTGGCCTTGCATATGCCAGGAGAACAAGCCATTCTCATGAGAATTGTCTGCTCTTGGAAATCCTGGGATTTCCCTGGCTCAGGATATTTCCCTTGTAAGCCATGATCCCCCACTCTGCTCTAGAAAACACCTGCACTGGAACTGATCACTTTGGTGAGTGATGAGATAGGCAGATGTCACATTTCAGTCCTATCATCAAGTTGCTAATTTCCCTAAAAAACTGGAGCATACCTCCTAAAATACCTAATATGTGTAATTGCTTTGCATACACCATTAAAACATTATACCTTATTATCCCTATCACAACATAATCAGCATGTAAAATCAAACATTGTTTTCAGATGAGGTAACTCTGGCTCTCTTGAGAGCACTGCATCAATGTAGTTATTCCCTCCTGCACACAATTAAAATTCAACTATAGAACAAAGAGTATGAGATATTTAAGTGAAAAAATTCAATACTGAACCCCCAAATTTCTTATTTAGAAGCCCAAATACAGATTTTGGAATCTAAATTTTGAGAACACTGTACTTTTCTCTACTGTTTGGCCTAGTACACTCCTCTAATTGCATTATGAAACTACAACTAATTCAAGAAAACACTGTTTATGATGGTACTTAGATCAAATTATACAGAAGTATACATACATTTTTTCCTTTCAGGATGTAAAAAACCCTCATCATTCCCCTTTAGCATGCTGTTTAAGGAATGGTCTTCAAGATCTGAAATTACTTGCTATTACATCACTTTGGAATTAATATGTCCAAATAAATCTGCACAAAGTGAAGGAAATAAGCCATTTATTTCAATTTTCTCAAAGCAGTAAACTAAGAACTAATACAAGGGTGCAGTAATTAACTGCAAATCTAAATGTAGCTCAGCCATTCAAAAACAGAATTCTGACTTCAGAAGTAGAGATCTTCAGTGAGATGTGACTGAATTATTTCACTGAGTTTGAAAATTTCAGTTACACATAACATTCTTCTATTTACCACTATTACATATAGAGCAACATACATGAAATTAGATGATTCCTTTACCTGGCTTTATCCCTTGCTAAATTCAGATGGGCTTGCAACTGATACACATTGGCATTTACTGCCTTTATACAGACTAAAAATTGACTCCTGAAGTTTAGAATTTAACCTAATAATATTAAATACATCTCTAGGTTGAGCTTTGAGAAGCCAGTTAGGTCATAAACAAATCAAGCTGTGCTTCAGAGATCACTGCTGCAACTCTGCCCTTTGCATTTAAAATGTTAAATCAGTCTTCAGCAGTTTATAAGAAGAAAAAGTATTTTTACTTGGATAACAAGAGAGCTGTTCTGATTATAGAGTTTTCTGGAATGTGTTGGATGAAAGAAGATTTTTATTTAAAAACATTAACTTGTGGTATCTGGAAAAATGTGCATCATAGGCCAAAGTTATGACTGATGATTGCCTGCCCGTAAACCCAGTCTCCCTATATGCCAGGAAGGGTTCCCTCTGAGCCTGGGTGAGCTGGAAAACATCAGCTTTCAGGTTCCCACTTTGAATTATGCCTAGACCTAAAGATATGCCTACACTGTGGGTTAGATATGTTCCAAATCCAGCTTTGTTTGCCTTCATCCTATTGCTGGGCAAGGATACCCAAGCTCTGTGGCTCACTGGCAGTGTTGCTATAAACATCTTGATCCCCAACAGCCTAGGTGCTTGTGCACATGAACTGGAAAGCTTAGGCCTGAGCAGGGCCACCACTAGATCTTTCAGACTCAGTCCTTCATCAGTGAGAACAGATGCTTTAAGCCTGAGGCACATCCAAATTTCCCCCAGTTTTCATGGAAGCCTGTCAAGATGTAAGCAGCCTGAACTTCCAAACCACCAAGCAAGGACTTTGAGTTTCTGAGATGGATACGAGGAATCTGCCCCGAGGTCGCAGACCTTGGGAAACAGGCAGGCCGTGCTAGTAAAATGGTGATGCTCAGAAGAACGACAAACTGTGGCTTCTTCAAAAACACCATATGTCTGTGACATGTTTCAAAAAATGTGTCATTTATGGTGAACTGAAAGCCTCTGTTTGTGATGAGGTCTAGTCCTTACGTGCTGCTTCCCAAAAAGTACAGGCTCTCTTCTGCCCTTTCAATGTGTACTTTTCTGAAGGCTTCTCTGTGCATGCTGAACATGCTCTTCCTTTCTTGGACAAGACATGATCTTTCAACCTGAAGCTCATGTTCCCCAGGAATAAGGACTGAGAGCTTACGTACAAGGACATGAACAAAACTGTTCACTCCTAGGTGCTTCTATGTATGAGGAAGACAGACTAGGGTATATTAAAAAACCCTATTACGCTTGAGTTTGGAGACACAAGATAAACTGCCTTGTTATGGTAGAAATGCAATGAACCAGGCTTATCCAGTGAGCTTCTTCGCTTCCATGAACTACCTGGATCAGTACTTTTTTTGTATACACAGCTTCACATTTCTTCAGTGAATGAACTGCTACACTGTATTGTTAAGGTTATAAGATGTCTATTAGCAGAAGATATTCTATCATCTGTAAAATGTGATTGATTAACTTCCATTAAAGTCAGTGACACTGACTTCCATGTATGAAGTAGCTACATGTCTGGCTATGCACAGAAAATGAAAACACACTGAACTTCATTGAATATGCTGGTAAGATACAGTAGTACTTTCTCATTTTGCTCTGGATAAAATGAAATAAAACCAGAAATCAGAAACAGATTTGGAAAATAACTAACATTGTTACAATTTTAGACAAATCTGAAAAATAAGTCCTACACATGCAACTCACTGATGGTACTTCTTATATCCAAAACAATCATATCTTTACATTTAGCTATCTTAATGAAAGAAAACACTACTTTAAAATTTAAAGAAATCAGATATTTTATTGTAAGTATAAAAAAATAAATACTCTAAGGAATGGAAGAAAAAATAAAGCATGTTAAATGATTTCATTATATACTAAGATGCCAAATCATCTGTGAGTAGTTTCTTTTTAGATGAAAAGAAATCAAAATATAGGACAGATGTTGGACAAACCACATTTGAGGTCTATCACACACTGGCATTTTTCAAATGATTTTGGCTCATCTATTAAATAAGGTGTATTTTGCTTGATTTTGAAAAGGGAAACATCAGGAAATATTTAAAGGCCAATTGCTGCCAATTAACTTTGATCAGCAAAAGTTGAATTTGAATCTTTTAGATTCTTTTGCCTGTCTGGAATAACACACTATTCTAAAATCTAGCAAAACAACAACTTGATGATTAATGTGTGTTGGCAGCCCCACCACAAGCTTGCTTAACAGCTGGATTTTAAATAAACAGCTGTCTTCACTACGATGGGAAAGAAATCTGACTGTTTTCATGTTTTCGTGTTATTCAAATACGATCAGAAATTGCATTTTTCCCTTTTAAGATGAAACAGCCAGGCATTACAGTGACAGTCTCTTTCAGCAGTTTGGGTAGTTTTAGAATGATCTCACAAGCACTGCCAAACCATAGCCTGTGTAGGCTAAACAATCCCTTGGCATGCCAACGCCAGGCCCTCGCCGCATGCTGCAGGGCAGAGGCATGAGTGGCAGAGAAACACTGGCACAGAACTCATCGTGCCTGCTGCTGGGGAAGGCAGAGGACCCCCAGCAACAGAGATAGGCAGCCTATGCAACATTAATGGTTTCCCTTGGGGTTAAGGTAACACTTGCCCACAGCGAGATGTAAGCAAGAAATCTGTACCCAGTCATTAACTGTTTATAGAAGCTGAAGTTTAATATTTAATGGCCATGGCAGACAATTGAATTCTGCATGTTTCTAGATGCTTTTGGTGTATACCTTCCTGAAACTTGTCTACGGTCATCATAAATACTAAAACCAGTGAGGACAAAATTCGGCCATTTAAACCATAGTAACCTTTGAAGGCCAGTGCAGACATTTAGTGTAGATGTTATCATGCATCCTAATGACCAAACTATACAGCTATTTTCTAAGCATTTCCATATTGAAATGGAGAAACCAAAAATAACTGTAAAACCATTTAACAACACAAAAAAAGAGACAAATATTAAATAACCTCTGTGTTTTAAAGGAATGAACACTTACTTCTAAATCATTAAAGAATAGATGTGTGTCAGCCAAATTGAAAATCATCTCTTCCATTCGGAGTCCAAGGGACACAGAAGTGGGTGGATCCTTAAAGAAGAAATTAAGCATGTACACCATCAATACCATGCCTAACATATACACAAGAGTACAAACTAGAAGAACAGCTTTTCAAGAGATACTACTTTTATTAAATGCAACATCTACTTTGTCGGTTTAACTTCAGTAAGTGTCTAATCCTGTACTATGACACTTATTAGTAACACTCAAAAATATGATTTTAACGCGACTGACCCTGAGATTTTGCAGTGGGCCCTCTGTGGACAACCTCATGCATCCCTGGCACAGGCTCTTTGCTCTCTGTGCAGAAAGGGTAAATTCATTTCACCTAAAACTTCTGTGGATTTTACAACTGTTCACAAGTTTTATGAGCGACTAGAGGCATGATAATGCTATTGTTCCTCAAAATAAACTCTCACTGGTCACAAGTGACAGGATTCAGTCCTGGGAATACCTAGTGACTTTAAAGCAAAGAACCAGTAATGTTTTATTTGCAAATGGCAATTATATTTAAAACCACTCTTTGATTCTCCACAAAACCATACTTTAATTAGGATTTCAGTTTGGCCCACCCATGCAGAGTGAACAAATCTATTGTTTGTTATTAATACATAACACACTTTAACTTCTCTACAGAAATTACCATAACAACTTATTCCTACAGAGCTAATAAACTCAGAAAGCATGTTCAGCATTGTGGTTACCAAATGCATTACAGATGTTTGTCTTGTTTTCATTTTTTTGTGTGTTTTATATATTTTCAACAAGAAAAATCAAAAAGAAAGCCTAATACATACATTTCATATAGAGTTTCTCATTTATAATGCCAAGTATATCCAAGTGGACAGAAGCATGAGTTTGAAAGAACATGTTATATTATCTCATAACACCCTCTATTAATAATGTTAGTTTGTTAGGAATTATATTTTAAATAGAATAGCAGAAGTTACAACCCGTATTTTACTTAAAATAAATTAGTATTCTAAACTTGATGACAACTCAGTTAAAAAACAAGAGATGTAGTCCCTAGTTTCTTTTTCTACCTCTCAATCAAATTAATAGGTGTTTCAACATGATCTCTGAACTTTCAGACATTTTTCTGTAACTACTGATTAAAAGGCAAAATGTGTCAGCAGTAAAGAGTTGGAAAAGAATGATGATTTGTCAGACTGTCTGCCTCAGGAAATGCCAAAACCCAAAAACTACTAAAAAGAAAAAGAATGTTTGAAATTTAGGAACAAAGATACATGGAACAAATAAAATATCTATTATTGAACTCAAACATATAAAAAGTTTTCTAACACAAAAAAAAATACCCCTTATAAATGGGAAAGAAAAATTCCATCATGCTATTATGATGAACTCTGCCCTTAAAAACAAGCCTTCTCTTTAAACTGGCATGGCCAAAAAAAAGAATATTTGGCTTCTTAATTCAAATGGAAAGACTTTAAAGATGAACAAAAGTATTCTGTCTCCCTGTTTTAACGTTGCTCTATGTGTAGACCTTTACTTTTGTAGGCATGTGGAGTGGAAAGCAGGTGGTATTTTCTCTCTAGCTAGGCCTGAGGCTACTTCTTCCTATGACATTTCTGCTTATCTTTGTGCCCAGTTACCACCCCACCATCCTACATAGTTAATCAGGTTTGGTTTTGTTTTTTTTTTAACTACACAAGGATTTCTGTTGTGCCCAAGCACTAACAAAAGTCACCCCATAGAAGCCTCTGCTCCAGTTATTAAAAGGCATTAGATAGGCTAAGGGTCTAAGATGCAAACGAAGATCACTATCTACATCTTGATTATCAGCTGCTAATGCAACAATATAGAACTAATTCCCTTCTGACCTTCCACCCATAAATGGGAATATCATTTTGAAAAGCAGAATAAATAGGCATACAGACCATGGTGTTGACTATGAACCTGCACAATTAATTTTAAAAAAATGGCTGCATATATATATATTTTAAGTTTCAGGGTAATTTTTTTTTAATAAACATTTTTGCTGCACCTCTAAGACTGAAAAAAATAGTCTTTTGTAAAGTTTTCCAACCATTTCACTCCAAGGTATTTTTACATAGCAGAAGAAAACAGAATGAGATTTCTATAAAGTAATACTAAAATAATATCATTTATTAGGTTAATTTAATTGGGAGAAAAACAAATAAGAAAATCATTGGCACCTACCAAAAATGTCAGATTAAATAACACAAAAGCTAAAAGAAGAAAGAAAACAGATAGCTTTTCAAATAAATCAAAACTCCTTGATCAAACATAATCTTTTTGTATAGGAAGTTCCATTTAGCACAAAAACTGTGTTAAACTGTAGCTCTGGATACACACAAATTTAACAAAAGCAAAAGCCTTATCTACATTAGGATTTTAACTGTCTTTGTAGTCACAAACTTGCAACTGCTCTAATAAAAAGCATGAGAGCCTTGCTTTAAGCCATTATAGTAGGTCAAACTCTGGCATCAAAACTTCAGCAGGGGCTGTAAACTTTGAAAAAAAGTCAGGGCTAGAATAAGGTTTTTTTTTTTAAAAAATAATCCCATACCAAACCTTCTTTTTCAATTTTAAGCCACTAATTGCTAGCTAATTACTGTGAGGTGTCACACAATGAGTAGGAAAGCTAACAATCTCTTCTTGTTGCCTGGGATTTGCAGGTTCAGTCGGAGTGTCTTTTCAGGTATGGTCAAAATCAGGTACAAATCTCTGAGGGAGGTACAGTTTAACTAAAGAAAAGAAATACCAATGTCAGACTGCTTAAGCAGGCCTTTTGTTTTGAATACTGGCATTGAAGCCAAAACATTGCCTGTATGTCATTTCTAAATTCTACCCACTTGATTTCTTTGTTTTGTGGAGAAACAAGAAGCTGAAAAACAGGAAAGTTCACTTTGGGTACAAGGTTTATTTTCCACTTAAGCCTACGGGTCACAAATGAAGGGTTAAGTGAAACCAGGCTTTGTTTTTCTCAGTCTCTAAAATATATTAAACCACATTAGGAAAACTTATAATTTAAAGGAAAATTCCTTTTAAGACTCTCAATATAACTGCGTTTACTGAGAATGGAAATGTACGTAAAGACCACAGTTTTCTAGTGCCAATACTGAGACATATTTGCACCTGCTCCAAGATGCTAAAGAAGAGCTCCAACTTTTTCAAAATTCCAAAACTCAATGAGTCCTAGTGCCAATTAAGTAACTGATAGCATTATATTTGATCAATACCTCTCTCTCTGTACACATTAAAAAATATCCAAAAGCAAATGGAAATGTTTTGGTTTGTTTCTTGTTCTTCTTTCCTGGAAGAACAAATCATATTCCTGCAGTTTCATGCATTCCATTTCATTCCACAAAATTCATTAAATTCAGATACTTCAATAAAAATGTAGAGGTTTATGCCACTGTTTTTGCCACAACTGCACAAACTGAAAAACAAAGGTGTTATTTTGTTCCAACAAAGCTGAAGGACAAAAGCAGAAAGAAAACACAGCAGCGAAAGGAGAGCAGGTAATAAAAATGGATAAGAAAGTAAGAATATACAGAAAAGAGTAGAATAAGAAAGAAGCTAGGAGGAGAGAGTAGAGAATAAGGAAAAGAAAATCAATCCCTTCAGCATTAATGCCACACATCATTCATAGTCATTCACCATGAAACTCACTCAGGCATTATGAAAAGAGCTAAAAGCCAAGTTGCCAAATCCCCTATTATTTAATTAGGACATTTTTGTTTGTTTGAAGATCCAGCTTTTGTATTTTAATGATTATGTGAGCAGCTTAGATCTAATTTTTTAAAAGGGCATTTCTGGCCCTCACCAGAGCGCATAAATATAAGAAAAGGTGATGTTAGACTGATTGAAAAAAGGAATACAGGTGAAAAGAACAAAAACTCCCCTCAAAGTTTTTTTCTTCTCAGAATCGACTTATGATCTGGATTTCTGATTTTAAAAGCCAGCAATCAAATCACAAGGAAACAACCTTTTGAAAATGTGCACCTCCTGTTGCTGCAAATAGACTCTACAATTTTGATATGACAGATGCATGTTTTAGCACGTTTGCTTTGAACATTTGACTCTATGTTCCTCTAACATCCCTGGAAATTGCTAACTGTTGTCTGAACCTGTCAATAAGACAACAGAAATTCTGACATCAAAACAAAGCATGAATGGCACAGTTGCACGATGGGCATCTGAGAGCCAAGGACATGCATGTTGCTAACTCAGCAAAAAGATCTAATATTTATCCACAGCATAAGCACTAATGCCATCATTTCTCTCAACATCAACAGCTGGCTGTCATTTAGCAGTGCAGATATATTATGGCAGATGCCACTTAACCAGAGACAGCTGGGCAAAAGCTGCACCTCAAGTAAACAGTGCCACAGATAGAGTGATAGAGTTGCAATCAGCAGACACCCAGCTCCATGCAGCATACATATTTATATCTCTGCAACTGAATATTAGCCACTTTCCTCAACTTCAAGCATCCAGAAAGGCGTTTTATGTTCAGGCTGCAGAATTAACTTGCTTTTCTGTCATATAATGAAAAAAACTAATTATATTCCTCAAACAGGTAAGCTGATATCACAGCAAACTTTTCTGAAAACACACCTCACCTGATCAAACAAGAAAGGTTGCAAAATAATACTGCTTTAGATTTTTATAAGGCTAAATTCTACTGAGAGAAATCCAGAACCTGACCAGTCACAGCACAGACTGAATTAGAGGTAGATTTACCCTTCACTCAGCTGGGCATAGGGCAAAATCTTTGAGTGATAAATAGAAGCTTTACAAGAAGATAGTATTTCATGAAGTCAGACAAAACTGTTTGTTCTTTATATGTAGAAATTTTTAAGGCTAACAAAAACCATGTTTCAGTTACAGCTCACTTGAGGTGAACACGAAACAGTGTAGCAGATTTCAGCACAAGATGAGACATAGCTTTCAAATACAATCCTGGAAAAACAAAGTCTGATCTAATAAGGGCATTCCATTAGTAAACTGTTCTTAATCATTGAAGGCCATATTTCTCTTCTGAGAATTACCAAGGAAATCCACAGTCTGTAGACATATTCATCAGTTCAGTTATGATTTATAGATTGTGCATAATAGAAAGATTTGACTCATAAACAGACTTTCAAAAACATCAGTCAATATATAGATTAAAAAAAAGTTAAGGTAAAAAATTTTAGACTAATCTGTCTGTGCCCAAAAGTCTTCTTCCTCATGCCTTCTCAGTGCAGAGCACAGTACACTGCCGATCAGTCAGCACTTAAAATTTTTTTTTTTAGCAATCACTCTTGGAAGTTCTTCACTTTCTGAAGGGAGGTAAACCCTTGCAGATTTTGACATCAACAGGTTTCAGACAACCTGTATCTAAAAGTCAAGTGGTCAAAGGATTAATTCTAACGTTATTAAAATATGTACAGAATATAAGAGCAGAATAACTGCAAAAAATGGACATGTGAAACAGCTTTACTCCTTGTTTTTTTTATGTCTTGTAACACCAGTACCAGTTTGCCTCTAGCAAATTAGCTAATGTTCTAATCTTCCTTGTGTATCAACCATAAACCAGCAAATATTACTGAAAATTTCCATCAGTTTCTTGACACTTACCCTTCCGTATCTGTTTGCATAGGACCCTGTAAGCAAGGAATGGAAAATGATGATTGTCTCATCCAAATCCCAAATGAATACTCTCTGTAAAAAGAGAATCAGATCAATGTGTTCCTCTGTGAAGCTGATACTTGACATGGAAAGTTAAAATTTGAATCAGTAAGCACACAAATGGGAAAATTTTACTGAAATGGTTATATATTAAAACCATAGTTTCCTTGCCGTTTATTTTTAAAAATAACAAGTTGGGGGTTTTTCCAGAAGAAGGTAATACAATCTGTTTTAGCTTTTTACTACAATTCCTATTATATCAAATTATTCTATTAGAATAGAATTATATTTATTGTCAAATATACACAGAAAATGAGATTGTACAATGTATTTTCTGAAGACAGATGTGAGATTAGAAACTGAAATAAATGAAAAGAGGCCTCTGAAAATTAAAACTTCAGGGTTTGAATTCTGTATTTCTGCAAGTCTTAGAAAACAAAGTTCATTTAACTGCTCTCAAAAATTACCTCTAAAACCAGAACAAGTCAAATTGCTGCCAAGCACTTATTTATGCTAATTTCTAATGCATTTTAGGCCCCTGAAGAATGAAAATTATGAACTTGGATGATGTATGTGTAAAAATTTACGGTGTCAGTAAGTAATTCTTTTGCTTACAGACAATGGAAAATATGTATTTTAAACTCATCTTCTGACCACACACAAAATGATATTTTAATAAAAAATAAAGTGTTCAAATGCAAGTATCTTAAATTCTGGTGAGATTGTATTTCCCCAAGATGACGAATGGGCTAAGCTTTTGGAAAGGAAAAGTAATGCCGTGTGGACGCACAGAGCTGTGGTGTGTCATTGGAGATGTGTTCTCAACACAAACCATGGGCCACTGGGAGGAATGTGGACATATCATGAGAGAACAAAACCCACTATTGTGCTAGAAGTGTCTCCTGTCCAAATGCAAACCTTTCTTTTCCTTGTGAAAAGCTTGCCTTTTTTTTTCCCCCCCCATTTGTTTGTTTGCTTTGTTTTAATCAAAAGGAGAAAGAAACACACAGTATTTTTCAGAGAAAGTAGAAGCTCTTCCTGAAGAAGGTTCTTTAGAAGAAAAATCCTATCTTCTATGAAAATACTGTAAGGGGAAAAAAGGGAGCTTCAATGCCACTTCATTTTTGATGTGTAAATAGTATTTCTCTGCACAAAATAATGATAAAAATAAAGTCTGTAACAGGCAAAAGACATTTAACATAATGTACCTCTAGATCAGAGTCAGGTGGTGGTGAAGGGTTATTGTTTCTTCTGCCTCGTCCACGTGATTTCCCATCTGAACTACGACGCAATCTATCTGAATCTGAATCTTTAATGGGGGTTGATGGACTGTGGATTGTACTGTATTCTGTTGTAGTAAAGAAAGGACATTTTTACCTTTCAGGTCCAGCTTAAAAATGTTCAACTTGCTTTTAATGTGTGACACTAAAACCGGTATGTTCTGTTAACCAGCGCTAACTAAAATATTTAAATGTACAATGATAAATAGTAATATTGATACATAAATTAATTCGGTATAGCCTAAGTTATATGAAAAAACAGAGTGATAAATTATTTTAGTAAACACATAAAAAAGGACTAAGTAAAAAAATATAATTATTCCTTCAAATATTAGCAGATTAAATTCTAAACAATTTTAAGGGATGCCAGCTCTTTATAAAAGAACATTGATTTAACTCTAAGTTTTCAAACATGATTTAAAATAACTGCTATGGTGACTGGTAAGAAAAAAACATCCGGGTGTGAAAAAAAAACATATAGAAATTGAAAAATTTTTCCAAATTGCCTGGTTGCAGACAATTTTCTTTTAGATTGCTACATTTGAGCCAGAGGAATAGAATTATTTCTAATTATGGCATAAAACAGAGTATTTATTTTCCCATGGTAATTTAAATTAATAAGTTTTAAATATGCATCAACTATGGAGATGAAATTTACAGTATTTTTAAAGGCCTGCTCAACACTGAATTGTTCCAATGAGTACCTTCAAGATATGATGTAATTCTTTACAAACATTTTAGTATTGTATGCAAATCATTATGCTTCAGCAACATTTATTTGCAAGATTGTTTACTGTTGTTGAACAGGCGAAAAAGGAATTATTATTATTTTTATATGTAAGAACAACAAAATTCTTCTGAAAATATGCTAGTTGGAAGATATTTTGCTACTCTTAACATCCATAGACTCAGTAACAGTGAAGGGTTTGTACCATAATAAAGCAGACACCCAGCATCAATTATCCTTCCTATTAATTTACTTAGAAGTACCACAGTCCTCAGAAATGCAACTACACATTTTTAAATATTTTTAAATTTTGAAGACTTCCATTCATAGTCTGAAGTTCACAAATATATTTATTTTGAAGGTCCTAGTGAATTTTTTCCTAAAAACACTATTTTAGTGAAGGCAGCTGAAATTTTTATGTTTATCCATTTTACTTCTCATTTAACATTAACTACTCTTTAGAGTTCAGTAGATACGAGTATTTGTATTTTCATTTTAATAAGCCTAGCCCATGGCATTCCAGCTTGAACAGACAGGTATAATTCTCACACAAGTGATTCTTTCTCCTAGGAAAACATCCTGTTGAGGTCAAAGGTTAGATTAAGGAGGAGACTCTGGACATCTGTGTAACACCACATATGCACAATTCCTCAAATAATAAAAGTTGCTTGTGCTGAATGAAAGGAAAAGGTCTTGAAATTCTCATGCTCAGCTTTCAAATCTATCCTTACTGAAAATTGGCATATCGTATATATTTCACATTATATATTTACCTAAGTATTTCAGGCTACATTAAACAAAGCAGAACAACAAGTTAAAATGTAACTCAGGGTTAAACACAGAATCTTCAGAAGACACTCAGCCTATACTAAAAGAGTGATCCTGTGTATGTGTCAAACAACAAAAATCATTCAGCCACGGAAGTCCACATAACTAAAGGCAGAGGTTTAAATATTTAAGACCATAAATGTTCCAATCATATATATTTTTCCTGTGACAGTGTACACTTCAGAATGTTTAAACTAGTTAAATTTTGAATGCTGACTGCTCTTTCACTTACTGTATTTAGCCATAAATAAGAAAACATAACTCAACTAGTACAAATTTTTCCAAACAATTTGTCTGCTATACACAGTTTTTATTATTACAATCTTTACTAAAAAGGAAAAAGAAAGAAAACAATGCACAGAAGCCTTGAGATAAATTACAACAGTAAAATAAACAGACCGGAATTCCTTCAACAGGTATACTGGCCAATAATGTTCTAAATATGTGTTCTAAAGTTTAGATGTAATGAAAAACTGTGTTTCCTATTGACTAATTTAAATTAGGGTTGTTCTTGGTCTCTGACAACGTTTTTAGGAGTGTGGCTTCAGTTACAATTTTTTAAATGATTATCACTCTCTATAGTCTCTCCAAACCGGGCACAATAATGCAAAGCAAAGTCAACCAAAGCTTGATTTCCTGGATGTCCCACAGGCTACCCCCCTGGGCCCCACTTGGCAGGATTTTTCTGCAATATTTCCAATAAATGTTCCATTCAGGATTTCTAGATCACCTTCTGAAGAGGAAGTGACACTGAACTGGTTGTTTCTCAAAGACCTGACCAAACCTTGCACATGAACTGAATAAGCGACATTGCTAATACTTGGAACTTCTGAGTCTATTCAGGGCATCAGTGTGTTGCAGTGTGACAGATGGCTGTAACCAATGGAAAGAAAACATGACTATGTGTGCAAGAAACTTATTCCATGCTTGTAAAGGGAAACCAGAGCAAGTACTTTTTGAATTAGGGCTGTTGGACAGAGCAGCCTCTGTGTGCATGGCTGGGTTATCAGCTCACTACCCAATGGTCACTCTCAGGTCCTCATAAGGAAACACAGTTAAAGAATACACTGTCCAGCTGAGCCCTGAGCCTCGACTAGCCCAAGCCTGACAAATTCTGGAACAAGAAAAACAACAGCGGCTCAGGGTACTTCGTGTGCCACCAGTATCTGGAGTACTGAAAGCGGTCTGCAGGGAAAGGTAGAGCCTGGAAGGAGCTGCCAACATTCCCCATCCCACATTTGTGCAGTTCATCATTCCTGCCTAAATGTATACCTCACACCTGCTCCTATTCAGATCACATCTCCATTTTTTGAGTTCTCATCCCATCTCCAAAGAACTCACAGCCCCTCTCAGCATGGTGTCATCTACATATTTAATAGGCAAACACATTCTGTTCCGTCATCTAAATGATTAATGAAAACGTGGTATGGTGGCTAGGCCCAAGGCAGACACTGAGGAATGCTGCTGTAGCCATCCTTCTATTTTAATAGCGAGCTCTCGCTGAGTTCTCTCTGGACACCATTTCCTAAACAGCTTTATATCACTCTGCTGTAGTTTCTGCCAGACTGTTTTAGTCTAGTTTGCTTATAAGATTGTTAAGTGAAAAAATTTAACTGCCAGGGTAGAAGAGACTTTCTGAAGTCAGGTTACAAGGCCACAAACCATGTTATCATTATACCCATTATTCTATAATCATTGGTAGCAGAAGGGTAATTTGTTGAACTTCAGCTGACTTCATGGTACCAGACATACTTTAATATTATCCAAGTGAAATGATTATGCTTCTAAAGCACCGAATTTAATTTTATCCTGTTTTTGAGCATCACAAACACAGATAAGCACAGGATGAAACCCTACCCTCCACAAAATCATGAGTGCAGAAGGGGGTGGGGATTAGGTCTCTACTGCCTATCAATACTAAAGCAACATCACAAAAAGGAGCTAGCAGCAGCCAGGTTAAATACAAGGAGTTCAGATAAAACCTAGGAGATTTGTGGCACATTTTTCCAAAAAAAAAAAAAAAAAAAAACCATGACACCCTCTCAAAAGATTACCAGGGCTCAAGAGAAGGCTGAAGACACCCCTCAAAGTGAAGCATTCAGGGGTGCTACAGCCACACCACATTAGCAGGTGGAGTCTGTGGGACCAGACAAGTGGTGGCAACATCACCAGGCTCCACTGCCAGTTTCTGGGAGGTCATTTCAGTGCAGTCTGATCAGGTCCAGCCTGATCTAGTCTCCTAAGAATCCTCAATAGGGGCTGGAGGAATTAGGAGCTCTCCTGGAAGATACTTTCCAGGTTAGCTTTGACTGGAAGGACTCCAGCTGAGTGCTCTAGGACCTCTTTGCTGAACCAAAGCTCCATATCAAAACAGACCTTACTCCAAATTAAAATGCTAATGCAGGTACACCCTAAACATACAAACAACATCAGTTCTGGAAATCCCCTGAGACAAAAATATATGGAATCTGGAAAAGTACTTAGGGCAAGTCTGACACAAGTTTAGTCTGTTCTTGCTGCACCCGAGGTGTCTGCTGACGGCCTCTGAAGTAGCAGGGCATGGGGTTGGATGATCCATCAGTCTGGACCTCTAGAGCCATTCCTGTGTGTTGCATATGGCTTCATAGAATTATATTAATAATGTAGGAACAGTTACTCTTCTGCATCCAGGAACATACACATCATTTTAGATCTTCCCGCTATAGCAACTCTCTGCACTCTGGCCCAGGTAGACACTAAATGTTACAGCTTGTTTCTGTTTCACACACTCAAGAATTCTCTCTTCCAAACCTTGGATAAGTGTAACAGACACTACGTTGATTTCTCTAGTCAGTCAGAAAAAAAAAAAAAAAACATTTAAAACCCAGATTCTATAAATGTCTTATTTTTCAGGTGTGACTGGTACTCCCCTGCTCCTGACCTGGTAGTAACCCCTGTAGAATATGGTCACACCAAGCCAGATAAAAACTGCACATAACTGTGAGAAATAAAATATGTTTACATTCTGGCTTAACTAAATGCATGAACCATATTGTAGCAGACTTTCCCCTATGCTTCAAGGCACCCTATTATTGCAACCTGGCATAACAGTTCATGATCATATACTTCCTTGTTATACATCACTGAGGGAGGTTTTGATGGTTCTGTTACGCAGGACAATTTTCCAACATCTCATAAAAAACCCCCAACTTTGCCTATGAATAGGCAGTACGGCCACAGACAGAGCTTTTGCAACACCATAGTCTGTAATTCATTTCCGTTTGTTATGGAAATCCCCCCCTAAGTAATTGCTGTATTTTCTTACTGTTGATTTCAATGTACAGCAGTAGTATCAAGTGATAAATCTTGGGCAAACTGGCTGTCCCAGAAATCCCAAAATCAGGTCTCTCCCTAGAGGTAAATCCAACTGGTGAGTGTATGGGTAGAGTTTTTGCTGTTGACAAAGGCATTGCAAATTTTGTCAGATTTTTCCCTACTCCACTGAAAGGGTATGCAAAAAAGAGTAAATATACA